CTATTACAGAAGAACATTTAATACAGATAGCATAATGTGATAGGTGTACTGTGGGTGAAAAAAAAGGTTTCAAAATAGGATGTGCAGTAAAGGATCTCATAGGTGTACTGTGGGTGAAAAAAATAGGTTTCAAAATAGGATGTGCAGTAAAGGATCTCAAAATTTTCCATCTATATTAACTAAAACACAGTAAAACTGGAAGAATTGAACAATTCATTTTGTTTAGAAATTCTTGTCTAGAAAGGAAGAATCCATAAAATAATTACATTTAGTTAAAAACATTTAAGATCTAAAAAGAAAATCTGAAGCGCTATGAATTATACATATGGGCCTCAAAACTATTAATGATGTATTTTAATCTATTTCTGGTAAAAGCTATGATCCCTACAAAAGTCCTACAAAAGCCATGATCCATGTCAACTCTCTGATTTGCATAACATGCAAGTAAACAGGTCATCAACTAGTAATTCTAAAATAAAATATTCTTTTCAGTTGCTTGAAGGAAATTAAAAGGACTTCCATAATAGCAGAGAGCTGTTAAGTATAACCAAACAAGTATAAATTGAACATTATCAATAACAACTATTCAGGGGTCTCAGAAGGAATGGAAGGAGCAGGAAAAAATTCTTCAGAAAATATGGCCAAAATATCCCCTATTTGGTGAAAAATGTTTATCTACATATCCAAGAAGCACAACAAACTCCAAGCTTAGGATAAACATAAGAAGATCCACACCTACACACATCATTACAGTGAACTGTTAAAATCAAAGACTAAGGAAAATCTTGAAAGCAGTAAAGAAAAAGAACTAAGCATGAATAAGACAACCACAGTGAGATCAACAGCTGGCTTCTTATCAGAAACACAGAAATTGCTATACTGGAGAAATGTTTCCTTATTTTACTAGAATTATTATTACTAATCTAAAGTAGACAGTAATAAAGATGCATATTGTAACCCATAAAGCAATCACAAAGAAAATGATTTTTAAAGTATAAAAACAGCATCAATGGAATTAAAATGGTATACTAGTATATACCTACATACTAAAAAATAAGGCAGTAAGTAAAGAAGAAATAGAAAAACAAAGAGGACAGAAGGCATAGAAAACCAATAGCGAAATGGCACACATAAATCCAACTATATAAATAACAATAATAAATGGACTCCAAATGAAAGGCAGGGATTATAAAACTACATTTTTTAAAAATCCCACTATACACTGCCTTCAAGAGACACTCTTTAGATCCAAAAACATAAACAGGTCAAAAGTTAGAGGATGGAAAAAGATATACCATGAAAACAGTGAGCATAATAAAGTTGCAGTGGCTATACTAACATCAGACAAAATAGACTTTGAATGAAAAAATATCTTAAAGAACCACAGAGGAACATTTTATAGTGATAAAGAATGAAATCATTAGAAACATAACAACTACAAACATATGGACCTAACCAAAAGACTCAAAACATGAAGCAAAAACCAGAAGGGAGAAAAATACAAACAATGCAGTATATCCACATTACTCATGGCAGTTATATTCTATTAAGCTAGTGCAATGATTTAGCTAATACTGAGCCCTTCAAATTTGTTTATTTATCATCACCCACTGCTTTAATGAGTGAAAAGAGCATATCATTAGTGACAAGTGCATCCTAGAATGGATTCTACTTAGAAGACAAAAATTTGACTTGCTGTTTGTCTTTGAAGTACATAGAGGAGTTTCAGAATTCCTTTAAAGAGAGATGTTTCACAGAACGAAAATCTGTTTTGAAGTTCCTACACCAGTTAGGGCAATGCAAGGGAGGCTCTGCCTCCCCTCATGTTAAAATGCCGTCATAGAACATTAGCATCCTTCCCCACACCCTACTCCCTCTGAAAAAGAGACCTAGCTTTCATTTGGATATTACAATGATCTCTTGGCGTTGCTTTCTTTATCTAAAAACCCTTTTTAAAAAAAGAGGTTATCTCTGATATATTAGTTTCAGGTATACAACATGATTCAATATTGAATATAGTGAGAAAAGTAAGTCTAGTTACATCTGTCACCATACATAGCTCCAAAAATGATGTTTCCTTTATGATGAGGATTTAATATCTACTCTTTTAGCAAACTTTAAATATGTGATACCACATTGTGAACTATGGTCACCATGCTATACATTACATCTACATGATTTATCTATTTCATAACCTGAAGTTTGTACCTTTGACCCACTTCATTCATTTAACCCACCCACCCCATGCCTCTGACAACTACCAATCTGTTCTACCTATGAGTTTGTGTTTTGGGTTTTGGTTGTATTTTTTTTTTTAAGTCTGCATATAAGTGAGGTCATACAATACTTGTCTTTCTCTGACTTACTTCACTTGGCATAATTCCTTCAAGGTCCACCCACGTTGTTGCAAATGGCAAGATTTCATTCTTTTAGTGTCTGACTAGTATTCCATTGTTTATGTATATATATCACAGAACTGAAGGGAGAAAAAGACAACCAATATGCCCAATTCCTGTTACTTATGGCAGTTATATTCCATAAATTCACTGCACTGAATTAGCTAATACTGAACCCTTGACTCTTAAATCCTTAAAACAACTTATCTTAGTAGATTCTAATTTTCTCTATTTTACAAAGTGAAAATGAGGTTCAGAAGTGTTTAGGTGACTTGACTGAGGCTATCCCCCCAAAAAAATGCTAGAGTTGAGATTCATATCCCACCAACCTGGCCCCAAAACTAGCTTCTTACACTATGCTACAATGCTTCCTACAATTTCCATCCTCTGAAATGGAAATTCAGGTATACAACATATACCAGCACTGCCTTGTTAACTTCAGGAATATGCTTGTTGGGAGACACAAATTTTTTACTACTCTGTGCATTTCTACAAATGACCATGAAGCACCACCTCCTCTTTCCACAAAGTGATTTTGGGGTTACAAATAAATTGCAATAGATATGAAAATTCACAAATACAAATTCCACAAAATGAGGATTGACTGGAGTTGGAGACTTCAATATGCTACTTTTATGATGGATAGAACTAGGCAAAAAAACAAATATAAAAGGCAAATAATATTATAAATTCATTAAACCTAACAGACACCTGTAAAACAATCCATACAACAAAAGCAGAATAAACAGTCTTCTTAAATAAACACAGTGAACATTCTGAAATACTGATAACATGCTAGTCCATAAAACAGGAACACAAAAACTGGGCAAAAAAGTGAATAAACAATTCACCAAAAAAAACCCAGAAAGGCAAATAATCACGTAAAAGGATGTTCAACATCATTAATTTGAGAAATGCAAATTAATACCATAATGAAATACCACTTTACCCACTAGAACGGCTACAGTCAAAAAGATAGTAACAAAATTCATTATACCTAGGTAATATACTACTTAGCAGTAAAAATGAAGTACTGATTCACACCACAATATGAATGTGCACAAGATAAACAGTGTGCTAAAGTGAAAGACAAATGAAAAAGACCACTATCCTAAGATTCCACTTATATGAAATGTCCAAAATGGGCAAATTTATGGAGACAAAGTAGATCAGTGGGACTGAGAATAAGAATGGGGATTGACTACAAACGAGCAGAGGAAATATTCTAGAAGTGGATTATGATAATGGTTGTACAATGCTATAAATTTACTAAAATCTATTGTAAACAGGCAAATTTCATGGTATATTCAGTACCTGGATCTTAATAAAACTGCTTAAAAAAAGAGACCCAATTCATAAGCTCCAAATAATACTTATCACTTTTTCTATTTGCTCCAGTTTTCTTGTACTATCCACACCTTTTTCTTCCTAACTTAAACTGTCTCTACCCACTATTCCTGACAACTTTATTAGTCCAACCCTCTTTCTTAACCATGTCCTTAGGATGTATATTCCCTATACATCTTTCAGTGAAATCTTTCTTACATTCTATCTACTGTTTCAGCAACAGAAAACCCTAGCCTGGACGTGTGGGGTCACTACACTGACTCCAGGCAATTTATTTTTTCTTTTTGCAGGGATGAGGGGTGACTACTGCATTGACAATTTAAAAATTATCTTAGGCAGTCCAGGGGAGTAAAAGGGTGCAGAGGGAAGGGCACTGAGGGATAAAAAAGGCAATCCAGAGGTATCGTTTTACATATACTGGATATTGTCTATAGAACATCCTGACAATGTAAAATGGCACTCCCAATATAACCAGAATTTATAAAGCTACAACGAATTTTGGGCAACACCTTTAACAGGACCATTGACAAAGAATGTTTCCAGAGATGAATGTAGAGTCTGGTGATAAATATAAGAAACATACCATATGAAGAACAACTGGAGGAATAAGAACTCTTTAAACTGATGGAAAAAAAGAGTAAAAAGACAGTCTCTGGTTTTCAAAGTTACAAAGGGCTGGGTTCAACTGAGATTAGCTCCACAGGGCAGAAGAAACATCAATGCACATATGTTGACATAGTCTTATAATTATAAATTTCCTAACCCCTTAAAACTATACACTCTGTTCAAGCAGAAAATATTACTACCCAACTGTAATGTAAAAAATGGTATCTATTTTGGATAGACAACTAAATGGAATAAATACTGGAATACATGTTTCTAAGAACTTGAAAAGCCCTAAGCTACTTTTAATACATGAGCGTCATTAACTTCGTTTTGTACCTAAATGTATTACATGAGGTATTTTCTTTTTCTGAGCTGTATGCTTTTTGTAAACTATCAGTACCCCATATTCATTAAATTCTCCTATATATAGAGGATTGAATTCTGTGAAAATACTACTACATAGGCAAATGCTTTAAAAAAGAGAAATGTTTCAATATATCTTTCTGAAAGCTTATGAAAGACTGTACAAATGAAACCACAAGGCAAAGAATTTCTAGAAAACATGTATCTAATAAAGTCACAATTATATTTACCATACAAACCTATATATAAAAATGGTAAATTTATATGTAAACTAATGTTCCCACTTACGTTTCTGTGTCTGATACCAATGATTCATTATTGCACACATCATTGAAGGTGTGAAGTTGATTCTATAGAGAAAAGAAAGTTTTTTCCAAAATTATTCTTGCATATATTAGCAATTATCAAAAACCATGCTTTGACATCTATATCAACATACATAAATATAGAGATCATAATCAATAACCAGATAAAAATTACAAAATATAAGACAGACATACACTTCCCAATTAGTCTGGCTATCTCCATTATCATATTAAAACACTAAATAAATTCATTCCACAAGTAATACTTATGCTTTATTCCACTAAGCACACTAAAGAAAACAAACACGAATAAAGGAAAAGTACAAGAATTTAATGTAAAGCGGTAAGTAATGTGTTACTACAGACATAAAATTTCAGGAAAGGCTCCCTAAATGAACATACTGAACATTTAATTTCAGAATATGTCAAGAAGTATTTTCTGTATTTACAAAGTCTGTATTTTATCACTATACCAGTATATTACTATATTTTCTATGTTAACATGGATAAAACTTAGCTATTTTAGAATAACTACAATACAAAAACAGGCAGGAAAAGTAAAACAGAAAAGCTAATGGAGTCTTGGTAAACAGAGAGAGCAGGTCTATTCTAAAGGATGAAATTAACCATAGTACTTATATCCAGCAAATGGTTGTTCTGCAAGAATACAAACTCAAGGGGTGGAGCCCAGATGGCGGCATGAGTACAGCAGCGGAAATCTCCTCCCAAAACCACATATATTTATGAAAATACAAGAAAGACAACTCTTCCTAAAAGAGAGACCAGAAGACACAGGACAACATAAAGACCACATCCACACCTGTGAGAACCCAGCGCCTCGTGAAGGGGAAAA